CTTTCAGGGCAGGAGCTCCACTTTGCTGGGCTCATTCTCTGCTCCTGTGTGGTCTCCAGGGCTGAGACAGGGTCCAGACGGCCCTATGACATGGAAATCACTCACTAGTATTTCTTAGAAAAGTCATGTTTTCTTTCCATTTTGCATTCTATTTACCCTAATTTTGCATTTGTAGCTCCATTGGTGTTATGGGGCTCAAAGGTGGAGGCAGGCTATACAGCATACAGGATTTTTTTCTTCTTTACTTCCCTTGTGGTGGCACCGTGATACTGCACGCCCGTCCTGGAAGGACAGAAAACCCTGTGAGCAAAGCACATCTAGCTGAGCAGTTTTCCTTTCCTAAAAATCAAAAAATCCTTTCCTGAAAATTCAAACCCTTGCCTCCATCCTGATAAACTGGTTTACCAAGCTACCACCTGCTGTTAATTTCACAGTAAACAGAACTTGTTGCTCTAGAAGGCTTTTTAATCATAACATTAAAAAACTGAATAGAAATCCCATCCATACAGTTAACTCCAGCTGCCTTTCTTGCAACACAAGGGGAATGATCTTGCCGAGTGATGGGCATCCAAATGCAAATGAAATTAGCTTTGCAGCCATTCATTTTAAATTGCTCTTGAATCATTCTGAAGTAAATTCCATTTGAGAAGAATTTGCTTCAGGTCTCGCACAAAGAGATAATGGTCCAATATATTATGATCTAAGCAATAATAGTTTAAGTCTCGCAGTTCAGAAATATAGTGAGTTATATGCTGGGTTGATGAGAATTAAAGCTTGATATGTAGTAATAAAACTAGTGATCTAGAGATGAATAGATTGGTGTATGGAGCACAATATTTTCCTGCCACAGATTAGAGTGGGGATACTAGTCCATAAAAAGGGAAGTATACCATAAAATCTCCTTTTTTCACTTCTTATGCATGAAGAACTATAATACGTACAGTTTTACAAACAAACGCATGAGGAGAATAAAGACATTTCCTAACATCAAAAGGTTCCTGACTTAGGCAAATATTTGTTTTACCTTAAAAGAATATTGAACTAAAATAAAACTGAAAATTCCTATGTGTGACAGTCCATGGCAGCTTCTAACTATGTTGATTTCAATGGCACTTGACCTGTTCCTATAGATTTTGCATTTGACTTGCTTTTTAAAAAAAAATAAAAATAGTTGACACATACTACAGAAGGCAAATAAAAGAGCATATCTGTATTTGGGCCAGCAACTAATATAAAAATTCCAAATTAAATTTATAGATTAAAATGTCTTTTTAAAATGTATTTTCATAATAGGAATGAATTGCATGAGTGAAACTAGTTTAGCAGCACCATTAATCAGGTCTTTTGTCTCGCTAATATAAATCAGTCAATAACAACAGATGGGCTGTACACTTTATTATGTGAAAATAAAGATGAATGTGACATACTGCAGAAGTAAACTTGCCGCTCAAAGTTACTGAGCACAGAAGGAGATCTGTTACGATAGGGGAGAACGATGTGTGCCTTGTATTTGCATTTGATCAAGGTTGCAAGGGGAACTTGCTGCACATGACACTGACATAATGATTGGAAATCAAGTATGTGAACTTTTACTGTTTGTTTGTATCCACGCTCCTGGATCACTCCTAAATGGTTTAATTAGGTTTTTCTTTTTTTTTTCTTTCCTAAGCAGACAAAAAAATGTCTTAACTACTTAGAAGAGTTAAATAAAAGAGTTTGCTGCTTTATTGCAGCATTGGGAGATGAACATTTTAAATAACCAGTGATAACTGTCAGGAAGATTCAGATCAAAGTCTCAGGCAAGATTTGTACCCTCATATAGTGAGGGAGCACACAACGAGAGGCAGCCCCCGTCAGAATTATAGAAATAGGCCCAGCAGGCCACACAGTTATAACAAAGTTATCCCTGAAAAACCTCAGTCAGATTTTCGTCTTTGTACAGACGGAGAAATGACCTCTGTTTACCTAGAGCCGTTCAGGAGAAACTTTGATGGAACTTTTTATTAGGTTGTTAGAAACTGTGGCCTCGTGAAAATATAGATTCATGAAATTGCTTTGGTGATGTCAAAAATCCATTTTGTAGAGGGTTGCAAAAAATCTCAACACTGTCAAATGTCCTATACTGACATTTTCACAGGTAAATATCTGTGCTGGATTTTTAAGAATATTTTGTTATGTAATTATCCTTCCATCTTTATTATCCTCGCATGTTGCTGCAAAAAAATTACAACAGATGCCAAACATCATATCAGTCTTATTAAAAAAGTAAAAATATGAAATGCATGACTTGAAGCCAAGATGCATGTTAAGGTTGATGGTTCAAAACCCTGTCCCAAATCAGCAGCCGAACTGGCCAACTGTCCTAAAGCCTGCCGCAGCTGTGCCTGTTGTGATGGGAAAGCTGTCATGAGGGGATTCAAGGTTTTTCCTCCTCAAAGCATCTTCATCCTAATAGGTGAGGACCACAGCCCGGCAAAGGGGAACTACAGCTGCACACCACCTCTACCTGTGAAACACCATCCCGCGACCTCAGCAGGTGATGACTGGTGAGCCTGGGCAGGAGGGGAGCGATGCTTTGTCACCCCAAAGCAGCCGATCCCCTCTCTTTGGGAAACATGAGGAGCACCAAGGGACTTCCCTCTGGGCCTCAAACAGGCTGATAAAGCCACCTGTTACCTTTCAGCAGTGAAGAGCAGGAGTGAGGGGCCCTGAACGCAAAAGGCAGTAGGATTGGCTTTGCAGCTTGATTGTTTGGGTTGGTTTTTTTTACTGAACACAAGAACACTCAGTCGTTTTCACATTCTGGATGCTCTTCTTAAGAACTTGCTCTCTGAAAAAAAAATTCTAATGTTGCTGTTAATAGTGACAGTATGAGGGCAGGGATTGACTGAATGTATGCCAGTGTAAAAAGCCCCAAAATCCATCTTGGCTACTATCTTCAACGTATTCTAAAACTGCAGATTTTAATAGCCAGTTTCCAGGGACAAGGCAGTCTCTGTGCACTCCGTGTGGCAGTTTGTGAAAGTTTTCCATCTATATCCCTAATATTTAGGAGCAGTTCAGATGCTTCTCAACAGCAGTGATAAGGAGTGTGGAAAAATAAAACTGGGGTTTATTATTGCTTAAGAATAGTAAGGTGGAATTATAGCAAGAAGCTAGTAAGAAGACTGGCTTGTACCTGACAGTGGGATGCCAGGATGGTAGAGGGAAACAGATATCACCACAACCAAAACATGAGACTAGGCTGTGTATGCAGAGCAGTGCTGTGAATCCACTTTACCATAAAATCACTATTTAAACATTAGAAGCAGTTACCTTTAGAAGGGAAAACCAAGGCCCACACACATTCTCCAGGCTGATTAAAGAAATAATTTTAAAAGACCACCTTTTTTCTTTTCTGCAGCTTGCTGATCCTTCCTTTTAGACTTTCTAGTTACATCTTTGATAAGATGCAGTTAATTGGTCAGACAGCATAAGTATTGTCTTTGATAGCGTGCAGAAATCTAGTGGTGAAAATAAATACATTTGTTCTTCCAGTCACCAGAAATTAGTGAAGCAATACTTGTTTAATTATGAAACATATGTGTGCTTTGTTAGTTTCCATCTGTCTGCTCACTGATTTGCAATTAAATGACCAGAAGAAAAAGATACGTCCTGTGGCAATTCAGGGGAAATGATTCATCTCTAATGTTTCTGTGTTGTGGATGTCTATGGAGCAGTTCGTGTGAGAGAGAGGGAGTGGAGAAGAGGAGAAAATATGGGTAGAAGGGGATGAGGTATGCTAGAAAGCCTCTTGCTTTGCTTTAAACATGTTCTGTTGTCATGAAACCAAATGTGGACTGCCATTAAACTATTGTTATTTGTCTTTCTCTATGCAAAATGGAACAAAATGGAACAAGGAGCAAATACCTAACAGGCAGAGGAAATGGGTTTGCAGAAAAAGGAGACTGGTATGGTCAAAGTGAAAAAGCAATGCAGAGAAAAGAAAGGATGGGAAAGTGATAAAAACTAAATTTATTTTGAGTATTTGCAGATGATTATTGCAGATAGAAATTGAATCGTTATAGTATGTCACCGATTTTCCCTTTGCTAGAAAAATGCCAGACCTTATTTAGTGTACCATTCTCCTCTCATCAAACCAGTTCAGTTCTCTTAGGTCTCAGGGAGTGATGCAGTAGTGAGTCAGGCCTGTTACTCTTTTTAAAATGAGATACTGAAAAAGCCAGAAATATTTTCAAATTAATACGAAGGGATAAAAGTAAAAATGGCAGTTGGTGAACATGCTCTCTTCATAAATACTTCAAGAGATTCACAAAATCTTTTGCTGTGTAAGGCATTCCCATTACTGATAAAGTCATACAGTCTAGCCCCATGTCACTATGGGGATGGGTATCACACTATCTTCTCCCCGTCTCCTTCCTCTGATACTGTTCTTTCTTGTCTTTCTGCAAAAGCAGTGGCTGGAAGGAAAGCCTTTCACACCCCTTGTAATTCTGGGCACAATCTGCACAGTCATGTCTTTGGTACGAGAAGGTAGCTGTCTGACATTCCATCTTCATGAAGACTGGCAGGGAGAAAATAGCCAGCCTCCCCCGGTATTTTTGGTTTGATGTTTTGTGGTGTTTTATTGATCATCAGCAACATCCATCACTGTGTATCATGATGACTGCTTCAGAGACAGAAAGAGGGAGATTGAGAAAAGCCTTCAGGACTGTCAGCTTGCTGCTGGCCAATCTGTCAGTAGTGGGTGCCCCTCCACACCTTTGCCACTGGGAGCCTCTTGGATGTTCTTGCACACTGACAGCAGGTGGGGAGGTGGATGGGGAGAGTGTTATTCTCCTCTGAATTGGTGCTTTCTGATGCGTAAGACGTCCTCTGCAGAGAGGGACAGAGAGGTTTTAAAGGGGGATTTGTGAAGAGGGAAGGAGATGAGAAAGTACGTGTGTAAGGTGTTTTCAGCGTTGCCCCTTGTGAATTGGATTCTTTTCCTCCTTCTCCAGATTTTCTGCATTGACTTTATTCGTTACCAGCACCACCAGAGAGGTGCGGAGGTTCCTCATGTCAATAGCATGTGTCTGTGTTGGTCCGAAATGTCACCATCTCACAGCTGCCCAGCCCCATGCCCCAGCTCCTGGTTCCTCTCCATAGTAAGGACTGCACAGAGCAATGTACTACAAAGTAAATAAAGTGTAGCTTGGCACCTTCATTAGCAGTCATAGCAAGAGAGCCGGTGTACGAACAAAGCAGCATAGACTGGGTTTGCATTTAGTGTTTTGCCCTTAAAGCAGATTTCAAATTGCTCATCTGAAACGAAAGGCGCTATTTCCTATTTGTACCAGCCTCAGCCGGTACTACCTGTGTGCATTCACTTGATTAAACAATGCGATAAGTCACTATTGAGAAGTGTGACCTTGAAGCCTCCAAAAGTTTCTATTATTTCTTTTTACGGTTTTGCAGGCAACTCTCCCAAGCGCTAACATAATGCTTTATTGCTAGTATTGCCAGTGATGATAACAAAGGACCATTCCCAGTCATGTGAATGTGCACGTCGCTGTCACATCACATAGAGGAAAGAGAGCTTGGGATCTAAAGAACAATTTCTTGTGGTCTGAAAACAGCAGTGTATTTAAATCCGCATCTAGGAATGCTCCTAAGATAACATTTTATTTGAAAAGCACAATCCTTTGGGAGTTTTCAGAAAGTGCTTGTAAAACTTTGCCAGCTGTGTTTTGGTTATTTAATTTATCCATTTTGTCTCTTTCTACAGATGATGATTTTTTTCATGAACTTCCAGAAACTTTTCCATCTGATCCTCCAGAGCCATTGCCCCACTTCCTCATCGAACCCGAGGAGGCTTACATTGTGAAGAACAAGCCCGTGAATCTGTACTGCAAAGCGAGCCCAGCCACGCAGATCTATTTTAAGTGCAACAGTGAATGGGTTCATCAGAAGGACCATGTGGTGGATGAGAGAGTAGATGAAACCTCTGGTGAGTTTGTGTTTTGTCATGGAGCCCACCATTGTAATCTAGCAGCTATTTCATATGGCAGCGACTTTTCTCTACTCTTGATAGAACTGTGAATTTTGTATCTGGCATTACTGGATGTTAGTTGTCACAGCACAGAGGTGGTGTCTGCATCCAGGTCAGTTAGTACAGCATGCTTGTAGAGCACCCTGCCAAAGTTTGAAACAAACAAATGACAAAAAACTACAGGAGAACCATGCAGAAACAGAAGGGAATTACTTTCTCAGCCAAGTCAACTCTCTGTCACTTCCCCAGTATCACAAATTCCCAGGAATTGCACTGTATCATAATCACAAACCAAGAACCGCATTCTCCCGAAAGTTCTGAAGAGCATTTGGGTTGTTCCTAGAATTATATGTTCTTTGGTAGATTTGTGGAAAAAAAAGGAGAAGTTTACCCAGTTTCTAGCAAGAAAGAAGGAGAAAACACAGCTGGGCACAGTTTAGAGCAGTGTATTGATCCAGAGCAAGCACCAGGCTGTTATTCCATTACACTTTTCTGCTTGCTCCATAAAGCCTGAATGAAGGAGAACCTCAGTAGGTTAGCAAGGAAGGAAAAGAAGAACAGCCAAGAGTCTCATGCTTCCACAGTCAATACCAGAAATCTAAATGACACTCATGGAAAAAAATAGGACCTTCACAGTTCAAAAAAAAAAAAAAAGGTTTAAAAACTTGAGTAATAAACCAGCATAAATCAAAGATACGATTGTTCCCATTTAGGAAGACTGGTAATCAATAGAGTTTGAGTCACATGGAAGGAGAGAGGCAGGAGTTACTGCTCTTTTGAGGGCTCTGAGAAATAACTGGATACCAAGCAAGAAGGTGCTTTTCATTTGGGAGTTAAACTACGACTTGGTCAAATTACTTAGAAAAATAACTCCACCAGATGTCTTGGAAGTCTCTTGTGAACTGAGTTTTATTTGTTTCAGTTCATTTATTTGCACAGAGATCAAAAGCATAAGCTTTTAATGGTACTGTGGTGCTCTCAGCTTGACAAAGAGAAAGTGGGTGTAGGAAGAAAAGCCGTAGAAAAAATCTGTATTAAACCTTGGACCTATTTATTTATTTGTACAAATTGGCTTTTCCAACAAGTTTACTACAGCAGGAAACCTAAAAAAAAGGAAATTCTTGTTACTTAAAACATCTTCAATTTTATTCATCCATGGGAGTGCACTGGAATGAAGAAGGACAAGCAGGAGGGCAGCTATCCCTGTGTTAATTCCTTAAGCTTTTATTAACATCAACGTTCAGCACATGAAAATACTTTGCTACAGGTGAAATTTTTCCCTGCAGGTGAAGAATTCATTCTTTTTTCTCAGTCACTGTAGAAAAACTGAACGATGCCGTAAAGCAGATTGCATTCTACAGATGTGGAAGGCCAGTCTTGAAAAGAGACACATTTGACTGCATTAGAGGACAAACGTTTTGCATAACAAACAGCAGCAATTATATGCAAATGAAACCCATATCCAATTAGAGATTAACATAATCTGCTGGAGTTTGAGGGGAAGGAGGGTGTCAAAAGCTGTGAGCATCAGATTATTAGGACAAGAGCCACAAACCCAGTCACACTAATAGCTTGTTAAAATTAAACTGTCATCAGAACCTACATTTGTCAGTCAACCTCGTTGTTGCCAAAAGGCTGGTTTATGTGTGTCTCGGTTGCAGTGTTTGTACACCTTTCCATAAAGCACACTGAGAATCTAGGGCTCATAGCACATGTTACGTCTAGAAATGGATAAACAATGTATTTAAGGTAGTGGTAAAATAATATCTTCTTCCAAGCAATGGAAGCTCAGGAAAACAGATCCACTGCAGGTGGAGCTGGAGAAAAATTTGCAGGAGACACTGACTGTGAGGATTCATTCTGGTGCCCAAAGGAGGTATCAGTTTAGCAGGTTTTACCAGTCAGTCTGGCAAAGCTGTTGGACTCCACTTTTGAGGCTATTTTGGTTTCTTTTGCTATTTCTGGCTAGCTAGTGCAGTAGTTGTAACCTAGGGCGCAGCAGGGGCGACTGAGCTGCTCCGAGGGGAGGGCAGTGTAAGGATGGCAGTGCAAGCCAACGCCGCTGCGGGCTTCAGGCTGGAGAAAAAAACCACAAACCAGGTTAGATCTAGCCTCTACATGGGTAAGCTGGGGTTCAGAATGATCTCTGCTACACAGTGTTTCTGCTGGGTCAGTTGTGTAATCCCAGCAGCTGAAGGATGGGTGCATTCTTCTTTCCTGACATTTTACCATTCTTAAAGTCCATTCTGCCTAAATATAAAGAAGAGCACCACGCTGGGACAGTCTTCTGCTCCTGTTTTTGAACCAGGCTTTTTCCTTCAGTTCTTTCGGTAGAAAAGCGAAGCAAAATAAAACGAGTGGAACAGATGATATAATATATGAGAGGGAAAAAGTAAAGGCCACCTGTGCTTTCTTTTCCACAGGACAGGTAATCAGGAAGAAGGAGGACTAAAATACAGGTGTGATACTAGTGGTACATCATCTTGGGATTGTAAATGATGCATGAAAGAGAGAAATGGATTTTGATTTGCAAAAGATTATATGTTCATGGACTTTGAGCCTGTGCCCAGAAATGAAATCTGGGTAGAGATGATTAACTCTTCTTGTAAGGCAAATTTGTTTCTGTCATTGATAAAACCAGAGACAGCAGCACAGCAATGGCAGTGGCACAAGAGATAAAAGGAGGGTGCAGCTGAGCTCTCTTTGAAGAGAGCTGCTAGATGGAAATATTGAATATATTAAGAAGGCTAATTTTTAAGAGAGGAAAATAAATATTTATATCTTTTTCCTGTGCTGTTTTTTTTTCCTTTGTAACAGAGAAGGTACAAAATAATCGTTATGGTTATATGCACTTTGCACTCTGGGATATTTTTAAACAGTAGGTAAAGCATTGCTGTAAAGAACATGCACAGAGACTCTGTGGGAGTTGTTGCCTTCTGGTTGGAGAGGATGAGAACAGTAATAGTGACAGGGTGTTCTACTGCCACTTTATTTAATTAAATTAGCCTGAAGAGAGAGCCTTGCAAAAAAAATTCCGATGATTGAGTCTGAGAAGCCAGAAGCTCTGTACAGAGGATCATTGCATTCTGGTTTTTAATCCTCAGACTTGCTGGGTTTTTTTCTCTATGGTAAAAGCTAAACATTTTCATAAAGAAGTCAAAAGGGTGCTTTGAAAATCTTTAGTGCACTTCTTTGACTCTTTCATTTCCTATGTGCATGAGGGGCATGGTCTTTTTATGTTTTTACTGGAATATTTTCACATTAATGTGGAAAAATATATGTAAAGATTAAGAACAACAAGGATGAAAGTTGTTTTGAGGGAACACATTTGATTTTATGGCTGACTGTCATAAAAGATAACAACAATTAAAGTATAAAGAACTCTGCAGAGCTGATGCTTTAGGGACAAGAAAATTCCATTGTCACAGGGCAGGAAGCTCAATAACATCAATAATTGTTAGAGCAATTTGTGCAGTTTCCAAATTACTGAACCTCTGAAAAAGATGATGGCAAAAGATTTTATTTTGCATGTGTGCTTTTTATGGAGAAATATTTTCAGACACACACATGCCAATTCTGCAGTGGTGGGAGAGTTGCAGCTGTACAGAAAATCCGTGTCCTGCACCCTTTTCATCTGTCCGAAGGTATTAAATGCTGCTAAATCAAACCCCACATCCCAGTGAGGTACAACAGAGAAAAATCAGGACTACAGGGTCCTTGTTTTTGTCTTTTCAGTTCGGATATGCATTATAATAGTTTCTCCGTGACTATTAAAGTGAAATGATTTATAAAAGCCTACTTGCCCTCTGCAATGCCAGTGACATGTTGTTCTCTCTCCTTCAGGTGAGGAGAAAACAACACTTGGGACTCTTCAAAGTGCTTATTAAGTAGACGTATTGGGCAATTCAGCCCGCGTTACTGTTTGTCTACACTTTCAGTCTTCTTTCACTGGGATACATAGGTAGAGGAGGACTCAGTGAGTTTGCTGATGACTTCCTCTGTGTTCCCAGATAGCAGCAAAATAAGGACTCTTGAGCCTGGCCTGAGGCCCCAGGTAATGCAAAATGAATAGGCTTCTCTGTACAATCTCAGAGGAAAAGCATGCTGAGGGATGCTCTGTTAAGGAGCAGGTGTAGTTGCCAGTCCTTTTTCCCATGTCCTGCCTTCAGAAGAAGGCTCTTGGAAGACCTGATGTCCTCCAAGAGCAGCCCTCGTGCTACCCAGCCTTCAGCAAGGAGGATAGGTGGCTCTGAGGACTTTCCCTTCAGCTGCCCTGTCAAGTCTCTGTCTCCCCACAAATCAATGAAAACCATAAATTTAGAATCTGGCTCCAAATAAGTTTTTTGTCTGATTAAGTGGGCTTATTGAACTACATTGAGGTGGATGAATATACTCTTCTTTTCAGACAGAAATCTTAGACTTCTTTGTTTTAGTTCCTTTACATAACCACCGCTGTGATTCCGGCGCTTGCCTCCCACCACTACCTTTCCCCATTAATAAAGCTTTTGATGCAGGGTCAGCATTGATCTAGCAAATAGGAGGTCATTACCTTAAGCATTGGGTTCGGAAGCCTGTCGAGGGAGTAGGTATGCAGCTAGCTAAACCGTTAATAGATCACCCTCTCAACAGAAGAAACAAAGATTGACATCTGCCCTTTTGCCTTTAGAACAGCTCTTGCAAGATGCTGTGGCCAAAACAGCAATGGGGACACCTCCATAGGGACTCTGTGGAGGTCTCTGCTCTTCTGGCACCGTGTATGGAGGCAGGAAAATCACTTCGCTCTATCTTCCTCTCTGTGTATGCACCTCCTTAAAGCCATTTATTCTGATGTTTGTGACACCACATTTAGAAGGTTGCATTGCCCTAATGACAAAAGTCACATCAACTTATTTGGATGTTATTTGAGCTGGGCCATTTGATTATGCAGCAAAGATCATCATATGGACCATAATTTTGAG